CAAGGATGGACTGTGTTCGGCTCTTCTTTGTCTTCTTTCAATTTGATGCCATATTTTCATTAAATTCTATTTCACCCTTTTGCCACTATGATGTTCCTCAGTGAATGGCTTCATGTATTAGTTTTAGATTGTTGCTCATCCATTTTAACTTTCGTTGAAGGCTGAAATTTGAAGAATTTCCTTTTGTTTACTATTCCATCTGCAGTTCGCTTGTTCAAGCGTACAGCATCTAACACCATTGTACTCACTGGGCTTAGTGGAAGTGGCAAAACTTATCTTTTTTACCAGGTAACTCTTTGACATGAGAGCTGGGATAATCTTTTTGGAGTTTATCTAACTGTTTAGATGTGGCATATACCAGCTTAGAGATGGTTCAGCCCATCAGGGTACGGTGACGTCAATGGAACCAAATGAAGGCAGTTTTATTCTACACTCCGAAAAAGACAAGGTAATGGACATTGTCTTCTCTTGTTTTGCCTTTTTCCACCCTACTATTTCCTCAGCATTCTTGTCATCTCCACCTTCAGAAGGGAAAGATGGATTTTGTTCATTGCTACTGGTCTACCTTTTTGGTCTTGTCATGTTTTTTGTAATTGATTTTACTGAATTCCTTCATCTGTGTATTTCACTTCTCATACTTGGACCTGTTTACTTTATGCTACAGAAAGGGAAAGTAAAGCCTATTCACGTTGTTGATGTCCCAGGGCACTCTCGCCTTCGGCCGAAACTAGATGAATTCTTGCCTCAAGCAGTTGGCATTGTATTTGTGGTGGATTCTGTGGAATTTTTACCAAACTGCCGTGCTGCTTCAGAGTACTAATCTTTTGCTGCTTGTATTACTTCACATCAGTTGTGCATTTGCATTTGGATATTTGGTAACTGAATTTTACATCTCATGATTCCTCTTGTATACAGGTACTTATATGAGATCTTAACAAAGGTAAGTGTAGTCAAGAAAAAAATTCCAGTACTCCTCCTTTGCAACAAGGTTGACAAAGTAACTGCCCATACAACGGAGTTCATCAGAAAGCAGCTGGAGAAAGAAATGTAAGACTACACTATCCATGGCATTTATTCTTAGAACAAACACCAATTTGCCCGTTCGTGCATGAGTAAGACTATCTCCTGGAAAAGCACACATATACTGTGTATGCTTAAAGCGGAACTGTGATCCGCATACATAAAAAATTAGCATAACGTCCTTCTGGAGAGTTGAAATTAACCTTTACCCCGTGAAATATTGTTGCATGCTTTATTCTTCTGTTTTGGTAATGAACTAGGAGACCCTTTATAAATTGTTAATATCATAGCAGAAAGCTCGTACATAAAGAACCTTTCCAACATGAAATTTTATAGCATCCTTTATTTACTAATGCACTCGGCTAGCCATTAGGTCACTGTATTATAACCACAGCAGAATTTGGTTAAAGTACTATTTCTGGTGTTCTGTTTTATAACTTGTTGATTTTCTTATTGATCCAGCGACAAGCTTCGTACATCAAGGACTGCAGTATCTGATGCAGATATCTCTAATGAATTTACGCTTGGTGTACCTGGAGCAGCATTTGCTTTTTCGCAGTGCCATAACAGAGTAATTGTTGCTGAAGCTTCTGGTTTGACTGGAGAAATTTCTCAGTTGGAGAAGTTCATCAGAGAGAATGTGAAACCTTGATTTTCTTCTCAAGCAAATAGGTGTCCGGCTTTCTTTCGTTTTTTTTTTGTGGTCCGGGAAACTCATAATATTATCAGAAAGATGTAAAAATATATGCATCAACTTGGAAAACATATTCAAAGTAGGGACAGAGTTTGGAGATTTCTCTCTATCTTGCATAGTTAATCTACCTAAACATTATGTTTATCGTGCCTAAAATATCTTTGTTACTGTTAGCTTCTTTTTTGAAAATGTAGCAATTGCTCTTGAGTTATTGGCTTGTTTAACTTGGAAATATTTCACTTTCTTTGATGAAATTTCTTTTTGTTAATCATGATTACAACAACAACAACAACCGAGTGTAATCCCACAAGTGGGGTTTGTTAATCATGATTACTATTGACTATTGTAAACTCTCTCTTTTGTTAATCACAATAGTATATTACTGTAAATAGATAATTCAAGAGGCAACTGGTGATCATGGTAAGAGGACATTAAGAATAGGTATAAGTTTAGCATATTCAGATGTATAATTCTGTGAGAAGATATATACAGAGGTTCGAAACAATGCTAACTATTTACAAGACAACCAGAATATAAATAAAACATAAGGGAATTAGGGTTAAATTAGTGTTAAATCCAAAGGGAAAAAAAGGACAAACTGGTCTTGGTACATTCTTTTGTGATCTGATGATTAACAACTTTCTGCAAGTCAAACCAGCCCCAAAAGTTGCTCCCAGCATTTGATATTTCAACATTTTCCAGCATTTGCAAACAGGAAAAGCATTTTTGCCTTGGATAATAATTGATAGGAAAATTCCCGTGTTCTTTCTAGTCTCGTTTTGTTTCGAGGATATAAATGAAAAAAATTATATACATGATAAGAACCCGGGGATATGATAAAAATCATACTATATAATAGCTTGTGCTACTCATTTATTTGAGTAGCACTAAGAATTAAAAAAAAAGATAATTTGATTTAAGAATACTAGTGTATAATAATACTTGACTTGTTGATTGGTGTTTGAACTCATTTACTGTCTCCAGATAGCTTTCGACTCACCCACCGGAATAATCTTGCTAACCAATATTTCAATGCTATTACCAAGGCAAACAGACCATAGCAAGGGAGATGAAACACACCAACCATCAAATACCTGCAATTCCACATTTGGCAAAGAGCATAAGCACTTCATAAGCTTATGAATAACTCTGGTTATTAATTTTTATGTTGCTCGGACTCTCTAAAATACTGCCCCACCCGCGTCGGATCCTCCAAAAAATGCACTACTTCTGGAGGATACGACATGCAACCATGAAGAGTCAGAGTAACGCACACTAAGGGGCAATAGCTCATTAATCAGAGGCGGATCCAGGAGTTAATGCTTATAGGTTCCTGCAACAACCTCGAGTAAATTTTCAATAGTAACTGGGTTCACATTAAAACATTTAGTTAGTAAATTTTTCGAACACATTTACACTGTTTGGACAAAGTTTACTGGGTTCACGTGAACCGTAGGTTGGGAGGTGGATCCGCCCCTGGCTTATTTCTATGTATCATAAAGGGTATATATCTGCAATAACTAAAAGCATAAACGCGAAAGATTGCACACATACACTAAGGGAGCGTATTTGAACGAAACATCCAGGAATGGATAAGGCCACCTGTTGCAGCAAGAATTGAACTCTATTAGTAACAGCATATGCCTAAGTGACTCTTTTTTCCTGAATAAAATGATAATGAATAGCATGTTGAAAGCAAACATACCACTTTGAGACACACATATGAACGAGCCACTGGAACGCGACAAATGTGCATGTCCAAAGTACAAAATATGCAAATCTGAAGAAAGGGAACCGCTGGAAAGAGGCAAGAGATCATGTTAGCCAAGGTATGGGCATAGGATACGTTTATAGTTTAAGCCAGTCACGAATGCAAACTTACAAGAGAATTCAAAATCACGTCGCCAAGCAGGGTAATAGCATTGACAGAATGCATACCAACAACCAGCTGCACAGACGGGTAGAACATCAACTTATGTATAAATAGCGAGAAAGGGGAAAGAAGAACACAGGTTAATCATCTTTTAAACTATGTGCAAAGCACAAATAAATACTAATCCAGGTAGATATGCTCTTTTCCGTCATACTCTGCAGTGGAAGTATAGACATAGAAACCTTCCTTTCATATAATATACAACTTTTTCCTTTAGTTCAGAACTGAGGAACTGCTAATAGTAGAGATGCATAAGTAAGCAATGGTGAAGTTAAAGTACTGCCATGTCTTCTAAGAGCACTTAGCTTTCTTCTGTTCAGGATTTCAGTATCCGTGCATGTAGAAATTATGTCCAGAAACTAAAGAAAATAGAGGACGGTGAGAACAACCACGCAATCAGGAATGGAAAACCGAGACTTGATTGTAAAAGAAACTGTCAAATTTTAAAGGCCAGAAGTGGGTAGCTAATGAACCGAAAATTAGAACAGTTGAGTAGCAAAGTATACCAGAACATCATTCTGGACTTAGCACTACAGTGCATGGCCAGGCTTTATTGCATAATAATACAAGAAGCCACAAATCGAACCAAAATGTAAAAGGGAAATAGGATCAAGCCAGTAGAATATAAAGAAAGAAGACATAACAAAGGGAACCACAGTTCTTAGGACTTACAAACTGTAACCTGTAATCGTTGGGCGTGAGAAATGGGTAGATAAGAAGCCAATAAACGCAATCTGTAAGCACCACAGCACCCGCAGATATCTAAAAGTTTTTGAACAAAATCAAAACAAAACAACAAGAAAATTAGCCAAATGACAGTACCACTTTGTATTTGTTTACTTACTTTCCAGTAGCAATCAGGAAGGGAAACACTAACTTATCAAATATCTATGACGTATGGCAATAATAGGTTACCTATGCCATAAATGAGTATGGTAATGGTTAATTAGATAGAGTATAAAGAAAAAGGAAAGGAAGAAATGAAGAATAAAACTAGATATTCTGTTTAACACTATGTTGCTCGGACTCTCTGAAAATGTTGCCAAGTGTGTGTCAGATCCTCCAAAATAATGCATTTTTGGAGGATCCAGACACGGGTGCGGTGAGCCCGCGCAACATAGGTTTAACACTGTAATTTTGAAAAAACGAATCCGAGGTGAATATATCTTGAGAGGACATGCCTGAAAAATTATTTGAAAGGCATAGCCCAAACGTCCTGCAACTTCTCTATCATCAGTTTCCTCATTGGAACTCAAGTCCTTGGATACGCCAGGTAAACTTGCATTCTTCTCGAGAGTTGGAGCGTCGTTTTTCTCTTCATCGATACAGGCAACTTTCGCACCAGCAACACCCTTGCGCCGATGTTGGATACATCCATAGATGGAGAGTGAAGACCCTAACTACACCATTTCGTTGAGAACATAACCAAGTTAAAGAAATAAGGCAAACTTGAAAATAAATGGGAAAGGGGAAGAGATGATAATGTTGTAGATGACAGAACATTCCCCGAGCTATTTAGCGAGGGAGAATTAATAGTTAGTAACTTAGTATGCCTTTGCAGGAGGAAAGAAACACTTTCATTTTCTGTATGTATCTCGAGACATTCACATCCCCGAGATCATATCCAGAAATGAATTGGTAAAGATGATTCAATTGCTGAGTAACATACCCCAAAATAGAGAGTGACCAAAGAGAATGTCCACCTGTTCAGCAAAAAAAGAATAATCAAAAGCAAAAGATAAGACTAATATGCAATGAGCATGTAAAATCGTATATGGACGTGTAAAAGTGAAATTCATTAGACATTGTTATGTTAGCAAGAGAGTGAACCAAAACGGAATCAAGCCAAGAAGAAATATGTGAAATAAGAGGAGATTTCGCTTACTGAGTATAGAAAAAGAATATATCTGTACTATTTTTAACAACATCCATGACAAGCATTGAGAGAAGAAAAATGAAAGCAATTAGCCTGTAAGCAAGCAGCCAAACAGGACTGATTGCTTTGTGACATGTACTCCAAGCTTCGTCTTTGTACAAGAACCCAACCGGCCTTTTCTTCTTCTTCTTCTTATTATCTCTTTCCTGGTATCTCCATTTTGGCGAACCTTCAAACTTCCATATTAAGAGTGCTGAAATACCTACAACTACAAGGAGCCCCGATCCCAAGACTGAGAACCTCCACGTCAACCAATAACTTGGAGTGGCTGTATGTCTTATCATGACTTGCCGCCAAGTATGTTATATGAAGATCCTGTTAAGAACATTATCGTAAATATTAGTCGTTCAAAGCTTGAGTTTATATTTCTTTTGTAACAATAACTATAGCTAGAATTCAAGAAATTCAGACACTACGATGTCTTATCTCAAATTGAAGATAACTATTTTCCATTTTCAGAGCCTGCAGCACGAGAAGCAAGTATTCATTACCTACCAATTTAAAGATCTCCCTTTATGAAACAAGGAATCAAAATAGTCTGTGGTTTAGTATAGGTTATAATTTACTAGAAGTTTGTTACAATTTAGGAATGATGTTGGTGATAACTCACTATGATATCCATCAATAGCGGAGCCAAAAATACTAACAAGGGGATTCAAAAACTGCAAGAACACCACACATAGGATTTGAAGGTGCGATGTGACAGGGGTGAAGCCACATTGTCCTAAGGGTGGTCAATTGAATATCCTTCATCGAAAAATTACACTGTGTATATAGGTACAATATTAGGTTTTAGAGGTATATAATATATATTGAACACCCTTTGTCGGAGAATTTTTTTCACTTCTTTCAAGTTTGAATACTCTTGGGGAAATTGCTAGCTTCGCCGTTGCGACCAACAAATGTTTAAACTATCTTTGCCACTACACTAGAAGCTTCCTTATGTTAAGAGGATTCAACAACTTCTATATATATCCAAAAAGGTTTATTATTACTCTATTTGCACAATATAATTTTCCGACAAAGGAGATTCAACCTGATCCTCTTAAATCGATTTTGATAATGTACGGAGCTAAAAAAGAAATTCAAGGTGCAGATAGCAGGATCCTAGAACAGGATTACTTCAGAAAAACTAAAAAAAGCAAGGACGAGAGTTCCTTAACATTGATTATAGGCTAGCATTGCTATATTATCATAAAAAGGATGTTAACACTGTTTAAAAACAAAACTAGAAGACAACATCAAGATACGAAACAACATAAGCATGGCATAATACTGTCCGCCCTCATCAGTCTGTACATTTTGAACATTCTAAAATATTTGACACTGTTCTATTTTTATACAACTTCCCGAAAAAAATTTAGAATTTCACTAAAGTATTTTCATGCTTAAAAGTTGATACAATGTTACAATATAAAATTAAATTTTCAATAATTACTCAAATAATTTCTTCTATATCACTAAAATAAATATTTTAAAAGTTGTGTGAAATCTGAGAATATGCTCTTGGCTCTCAAAAACACATATTCCAGTCTGTAGGCAACACACACACATAAAGAATATATGCAACACATACAAATTTACAGAATATGAAAGAAAATAGTACATACCCAGGAAGAATCAATCAAAAAAATCTCTTTTTTCTTTCAAATATTTTTGTTTATCCATGAAAGAGCTAGGATCAAAGAGATGGGAAATCCAGAAAGCAAATTTGGAGGTATATGCATGGTCAATGTAGGATTGCTAAAACTAACAAAAAAGATGTATTTCTGTTCAATTATTTGTTGGTACAACGTAGGACATTAATGATAGAAGATTGTATTAGTTTCAATAGTAAATTATTAACGGAAAGAGTAAGTAGAAGAATTAAACTGGACATTTATGAACTGAGACTAATTTAGATAATTGATATAAGAGTACCTTATGGGCCTGAAGATGGGGAAAAATGATATTGAAAAAATGATAGGGACTTTTCTCCATCTTGCTTCCCTCTTTGTTACACCACCAATCCATTCTATGTTGTTTTCTGTCTTGTTCTACACAAGTGAAGGACCTTTTTTTTCTCTCTACCATTCAACTACTAAGTCTTATGTGTTTCAACTATTTGACTCTATTATCAAACGCACTCCTATTACTACTCTACTAATTTTGTACCCAATGAGGTTCACAACAATAATATTACCATCGTTAGAAAAAAAAAAAAAAAATATCTGGTGCATAAAGTATGAGGTGTGATATAAACAATCTACCCTATGCAATCATTAGTGGCTTATAGGTCACACAAAGACATTTACCGTTGCTCTAAGACTCCCCTTCGGACACTGTGGCAGACAGTATATATGGATTATTTGAAGCAAAATGTTGAGAGGTGTAAGCAAACATTTAATACCACAACGTACATCTTATACTAATAAATATTGTCGTAATTTAATTTTAACATGCCATATAAGAATATACTTTTCTTAATCAGTGTTTGTTTCGGTATTCATAATTGTCAAATGTAAAAATTAAGAAACAATACAATAGTTAATTCTTCTTTCATGGAGTAAGAAATCCAGCCATTTAAAGGTGGAATTTCAACGAATTGATTGGTAAACTATGCACTTTTACAAGTAATTTACATTCTTACCAGCGCATGTATCAGGTAATTTTGCCCCACCAAAACTCAGACCAATAGGAAGAAATCATTTAATATATATTTTTTTATTTTTACTGGGATTTTAATCCTAGTCTCCCAAAGTTTTATCCATTTCTTTGACAATTAAACTACACCCTTAGGTGGACAAGGTCACTAATTTACATGAATTCTATTGCACAACTTTTCAACTTGTTAATTTCATAAATTATACATGATACAACTGTACAGACAAGTATATAATGTAAAAAAGAAACAGAAAAAATAAGAACCCTTTATTTTGTGCACATTATTTCATACTCTAACATTTGGAGCATCCACCATTATTCCAGGTTTGCAGAGGAAAGACCAATGTCAGAACAATTGAGCAAGAAAAGAGCAGAAAGTCCTCCAAATCCTTTTGCTCCATTCTTCATTTTCTTCCACAAATCTACCTGCTTGTGGCTGTATACCTACCATTCAAGTTACTTTATTTTCTTTCAACTTATTTACTCCTCATCACTAAACTCCTTTACTATTAAATCAACTGGTAAAAATCCTTTAGGACTTGTTGACTCTAATGCTTCAAATGAGTTGTTAATGTAATATTTATCCTCATAATCATCATCACTTATCTCATCGTCGCTGTCATTGTCGTCATCAGAACTACCTTTCCACATCACTCCTGACTGTTCAGGTATATATTTATTGGACAAAACCAAAGCAGGATATGTGTGCTCTGTGGCCTGGGAAATGTTATCGAATTCCTCCACCTTGTTCAATAGATCATCAGGTTTCAGATCAATCTCTTCTAGTAATAGTGCCTTGCCTGAACCAATTGCATTCTTCCACAGCGACATCATTTTAGGGCTTGAGCTCACTGTTTTCGCGTCTGCTTTAGAACGATCTTTGGCCGTGTCTGCATTGCAAAGTGTGACAAACATATAAATACTATAGCTAGCAAAGTCAGTTTAGAGTCTCCAAAAAAGGGGTCTAAAGTTAAAAAAGGTGAGGGTAATAACCAAGTATAGTATTTATATCGAAACGTGGACCTTTAGTTGCACAAAGGGAAACTAAAATGTCAGGCAACCTTAAGCAATGTAAACACGAACATAGACCCGTGGGCAAAACCTGGCAGTATTTCGTAAGGTTTCTCTTCAACTCTGATGAGACAACAAAAATAGGCTAAAGAAGTATAATCACAGTGTATTGTATGTGTACAGTGTCTATTTTCCAAATATGATTAAACAACTACCAGCACGCATGTTAAAGGTGGGGATCAGGCAAGTTGTTCAGACAACAAGCTACATGTATAAGCCAATTCAAGGTAAGCGAATGTGTTAGTATTCCATGCGTACCTGGACGTTCTGAAGAATTCATTTCATCTGTGACACCATCTATTCTGGAGGACACAACAGCAGGGGCATTACCGTACATAGGTTTCCACTCTTTCCCTCTCCACATCAATATATGTTCATCATCAAATGACAATAGCACACATGGGACTAATTCCTGTCATTGGAAGTAGAAATTAGTGAAGACCATGTCTAACTTAAAGAACAGAAGTATCCAAAACCAGAAGAGCTGTTCAAGTATGCCCAAGATTGATAGATACTTTTCTCGCTTCGAGAATGTGTCAAATTCTGATTTCAGTCAGTAATGTTTGCCACTGGAACAAAAAATTCATATGCTTTGCGAACAAACAAACTGTAAATTTCAAATTCACAAGAAAAATCTTATCTTAAACAGAGTATCTCAGAGGCTACAAGGTCTTGCTTGATTAGCCACACATTTCATAAACTGTAGATAAACCCAAACACAGTGCAAGCTCCTATTTTGCTAGATCTTACTACTTGTCTTGGCAAGTAAAGTAGTGCGACAAAATGTAAGAGAGATCTTAAGAAATATTTTATACTGCTGCATTGCTCTAAACCCACAAAAGCCAAAGTCATGCATGGATATAGCAATATAAAAATCAAGCGACTGTAGAACTAGAGAATAAGAAGAGGAATAAACAAAACCTTTAACTTAGCTCCTATCTTCTTATAATCACTTGCATGCATCCCCCGGCAATCAATCTTCACTAGTGGACAAGCTTCAAATGCACTTCTCACGTCTCTAACTAAAGTAAGGTAGACTCCATTTTTAGCTGCAAAGGCAGATACCCAAGTTCTTCAAAATGAGTCGGAATGCAAAAAAAAGCGATGAAAAGTCCAATGTACACACATATACAAATGTGAAAACTTTGCCTAGTTGGAAAGCACAGAAGACTGATCATAACCACAGGAAATGCATATCAAGCTAGTTTATAAAAGGAAAATAAGATAGTGCACATCAAAATTTCTAATTAAACAGACCAGTCAAAGATGAAACTGGAGGACCTTGTCTATCACTTTGTTTATATTGCAAAATGCGTCTTATGCGATTTAGACAACCAACCCACAAAGTCATTAAACTTTTTAGGTTCACAGATTAGAAAATAAGAGATATATTGGCATACATTCAGTTGCTTCACGAAAAACAAAAGCTCTAGATACTCTCTCCTTCAACAAAAATTAGTTAGTGGTCAGGAACTGAGAAGCAAAAGATGGTGGATAAAGATGCTTTTATTTTCAACATGGTCATAAATATTGGCTATCAAAAAGACGGGAAAGATTGAAGGTGGTGCAGAGCATCCTATGAACAGCATTATGTAGGAGATTCATTACTTAACAGTAACATGATCAGATGTTCTGCTATCAGTTGCAAGTGACCCAACAATATTACATGTTTGCTGTTGCCAATAACCTCAATAGCAGAATGAAAGCCAGAGCTCAAATGTAAAATCAGATACAAGCACATGTCGGAGTGGTTAGGTAGATGACGTACCCAATTTACAGATAGGGGGTAGCTTTTTTCCCTTGATTCGTAGTTCATCAGCTTCTTCTTTGGTCAATCCTTCTGGAGCGTCCTGTATAAGCTTTGGGTAAACTGGTGTAGCTGGTTTCCATAACATCAGTGGGTACTTTGGACGAGTACGATGGTCATAGTTCCTGCCCCGAAAGAGATAAACTACACCACCCATTCTATGTATGATCTTTCCACCAGTCTTCTCCTAATAGTGATAAAGATGCAGATGGCAAGCCAGAAAACCTTTTAGAGTGTATACAGTAAACTTAATAAAAAGACATGACCGAAAATTCAACAATATTTGACAATACTTTAATCAATGGATAACCTCGAGACATTTGCATAGGTTGTTCATATCAACAGTTGGAACACCTAAACATCGAACTTTACAAACCGGATCCCTTCTCCAATGTGTATGTATTAACTCTAACATGTTATGTACCAATCCATCCCGACCTATCAAATTCAAAGATTCAATAAGAAAATTCCAAAAGCACAAATTGTTGCATGCTCAAAATTTTGAGAGAGGAAAAAAATTACAAAATGAATGGGAGAATGAAGAAAAGTCGTTCTGAATTAACAAGCAGCGCATGTGCAAAATCGAGCAATGGATTCAGAACAATCCAACTTAAATAAAATCCTTCACAAGTCCTTAGATAAAACAAGATGCTGTCAACAATTAGCAATCAAGTTGACCCCAGAAGCTCCTCCCCCTCCCTCTCCCCGCCCCCACCCAAAAAAAAACACTTTGCCTATTTCTTTTTTTTAATTGGCTCAACATTCCAAAATATACATGAGCAAAATTGAGCTTTGGCAGCAAAAAGAGCAGCAATACAAAAACAAAAGTTCACCATTCAACAACAACAATCAATAAACTGTCTCACTCCCGAATCAGTTTTGGGTTGGTTTGCAAAAACCACTAATCTGGCTTAGGTATTCTTATAAGTTTTTGTAAGGCAGAGGGAACGAAGGGACATGCAGGCGGCTAAGAAGAAAGAGTGACATAGCAGTAGCGAGTAAGCATAATAACTTAGCGGTAGTTTGATTGACCACATAAACACAAACAACCCTAGCAAAAATCCCGCATAAATACTACAAAAATTTGGTTGGCCACATAAGATAAAATTATCTCTGGATCACTAACGAAGCTTTAGTTAGGAGTAGTAATCACTATAACTAATGCATTGTTGAAAGTATTAAACTTTGCATTGCTAATACCGGCATAAATTATGCAGAAATGTATGTAATACTCTATGCATGATAGAATGTGGAGTAAAAATATGTGTATTAGCAATAAATAGAAAAGAATACCTAAAGACAAAAATGTTCACCAAGTAGGCAGCATAATAATTCCTACGCTATTATTCACTGCATTTCCCGGTTAGGATTGTGGGAGGCGACTCAGACCATTTCCCGGTTGTTATGGGATTACACCAAGGCTCTTTTGCCTTGGTGATGGATGCATTGGCACACCATATTCAAGGGGATGTGCCATGGTGTATGCTATTTGCTGATGACATAGTTCTAACTGATGAGACAAGGGCCGGTGTTAACGCGAGAATGGAGGTTTGGAGACAGACCCTCGAGTCTAAGGGTTTCAAATTGAGCAGGTCTAAGACAGAGTACCTGGAGTGCAAGTTTAGCGCGAGCCGAGGGAAGTAGGCAGGGACGTGAGGCTTGGATCACAGGTCATCCCGAAGAGAGATAGCTTCAAGTACCTTGGGTCGATGATTCAGGGGGACGGAGAGATCGACGAGGACGTCACTCACCGTATAGGGGCGGGCTGGATGAAATGGAGGCTTGCATCTGGGGTTTTGTGTGACAAGAAAGTGCCACTAACACTCAAAGGTAAGTTTTATAGAGCTGTGGTTAGACCGGCCATGTTGTATGGGGCAGAGTGTTGGCCGGTTAAGAACTCACATATCCAGAGGATGAAGGTAGCGGAGATGAGGATGCTGAGGTGGATGTGCGGGCACACTAGGATAGACAAGATTAGGAATGGAGATATTCGGAAGAAGGTGGGTGTGGCCCCTGTGGATGACAAGATGTGGGAAGCAAGGCTCAGATGGTTCGGACACGTGCAGAGGAGAAGCCTTGATACGCCGGTAAGGAGGTGTGAGCGGTTGGCCGTGGTGGGTACGAGAAGAGGTAGAGGGAGGCCTAAGAAGTATTGGGGAGAGGTGATCATGCAGGACATGGTACGAATGCGGATTTCCGAGGACATGGCCCTTGATAGGAAGGTCTGGAGGTCAAGCATTAGGGTTGTAGGTTAGGGGGTAGTAGAACTTTTCTTACTTCTTTCCGGGGGTGAGGCGGGGTTGGATTAGGGTTGGCCTTAGATGGCTTACAGTTTATGTTGAATACACACTATACTTGCTGTTTATCTGAGCCCCGGGCCTGGTTACTGTTATTGCATGTCATCCATCCTTTGATTGTTATGCTTCTGTTACTATTACGATTTCTACTGGAGTTACTAATGAATTGTCTTTTCTTGTTTTTCTTATTTCTATCTTTCTGAGCCGAGGGTCTATCGGAAACAGCCTCTCTGCCCTATCGGGGTAGGGGTAAGGTCTGCGTACACATTACCCTCCCCAGACCCCACTTGGTGGGATTTTACTGGGTAGTTGTTGTTGTTGTTGTTATTATTCATTGCATTTCACATTATCACTATTCCCATAAAAATTCCTACATTATAATATCTGCATAACTAGTCTGTCAACTAAGATTCATACACATCTTGTTTCATTTCAAACACATTTCCTTACCGAACCAGCAATATTGCAAGTTTATTCTTCATATTGTTGGTGCGTGATATCATGAAACAACGACAAATGATACAATCCATCCAAACGTGGTATTCATCAAACAATACAATAAGATACATTATGAAACATGTAACAACAATCCAAACAAGTTGTAAGATTCATATGTGTCTTGTTTCATTGCAAACACATTTCCTTACCTAAAATTCCAAGTAAACTTACCAATATTAACCTGTCGATTACTAGCTATACAAGGTTTCAATAGCTCACGAATTTCCTCCTTAGTCAATGGGGGCCCCAACACCTTTTCCTTTGGCCTCCCTTCAAACTTTCCCATCAGCTGATAAGCCCTCAACATTTCATAACGCTTAATCCCTTCATTATTTTCTACTGGAGGATTCAACGGCTCAAAAAGCTTAATATTTCTCTTTGATTTCTTCATCGGTGCTTTCCCGGTCCAGGGTCTAGGCATAGTAGGAGGCGCAAAAGGCAAAAAAGCCGGTTCACGAATAGCCACCGGTTTAGCTTTTGGAGTCTCAGAGTAACTGAACTGAAAATCAAATGGAGCACCGGGAAGACGGTAGGACACGCCGTTATCTTTAACGACGACGGACCGGTCGCCGTCGGATGTAATGACTTGACCCGGTTTAACGGGTTTGTGGTAGTTGGAATTGTGGTGGTGAGTTTTGAAAGCTGGAGCAGCTTTTTTGGGCGGTTTTTGGGAATTGTGGGGTTTCTTTTGGGGTGGTGGATATTTGGGGATGGGGATGGGGGGTGGGGGTAGTGGGGTTGAGTTGGGGTTGTGGGTAGGGGGTGGAGCAGTGGGAAGATTGGAGAAAAGGTTGGGTTTTGGTAGTGACATGGCTAGAATTGGCATTGTATGAGCAAAGAAAAGCTCAAAGAAGAAGATGAGAAGTGTGTTCTGGTTTTTGTGTTAGCAGATGAGAGGGAAGGAAGTTGATGATCAAATCTTCAGTTGGGAGAAGAGATTTTTTGTCTGTGCCGGTACTTAACGACGTCGTACTGCAAAGCCAAGCGAAAATGCTTATTACGTGTGCGCTTGGACATAAGAATTGTAAAATTCTGAAAAAAGTGGAAAATAATTTTAAGTGAAAATGGTATTTGAAAATTAGAATTTTATTTGGATATGAATATTTTGGGTTATTTTTCAATTTTTATGAGTAATATGAGCGAAAATTTGAAAAATAGCTTTTTGGAGTTTTTCAAATTTTCGGAAAATTTCAAAATTCATCTTCATGTGAAAATTAAAAATTTTATGGCAAAATATTGATTTCGAAAATAAGTAAAAAAAATTGTAAAAAAAGTGAAACAATTTTCTTGGCCAAACGGTCTCTAATTACTAATGTGTTTAATTCTAATTTATGTGGCATTGTACTAGGCATGAAATAGGGAATTTCTTTTTTAAATTTATGGTCTAAAAAAGACTACGAATATTTGTTTGATTTATAAATTATATTGTTAAGGATAGAATGATAATTTTATAATTAAGTTGTTTTTAAATATAAAAGGACACCATTCTTGAACTAAAAGAAAAAATGTGTCACAAAAAACGGAGAAGTATTATTTTTTACCAAATAGTCATAATTTGCCCTTGAACTTTAAAAAATTGCTCAAATTTACTCTCAAAATTAATAGTTGAGGTCATATATAACCTTGTTGTTACAAAAGTTGGCTAGCCTTGTCCTTTTAACTAACGACATAAACTTTTTAGCCTGTGAGCCTTTTTTTAACAAGGGAAAATGACCAAATTTGTCTTTGAATAATGCGAAGTAGTCCAAAATTGCCCCTAAATAATTAAAATTTGACTATCAATTTCCTCAACCACCATCCCTCATCCTTCTAAATCGACCACCATCATAAATTGATTCTAAAAAATATGACTTGAAGACCATTGTTACTCCATCACCACTTCCCATTTCCACGACCCCTTACAAAAAGAATACACAAAAGTTTTACTCAAAATCTATCGCATTTAAACTCTCTCTCTTGCACCTTCATTTTTACCATGCTCCCTTAGTTACCAATTTATCTCTCTCAAAAGATCACTAACTCTCAACCACTATAACTCCGCCTTGACCACTTGAATATTGTTGTAAATTTGGGAGTTTAATTTTGGAGAAAAGGGCCAAATATATCCCTCTACTTTTAGATATTGTCTACATTTAACCTCTGCTATCGGGCCAAATTCATCCCTACCGTTATACTATAGGGTCAAATATAGCCCTAGCAAACTTTAAAAGATTACCCCTCAGTTCGTTCAGGAGACCCAGAATCTCCCAAATTATTTTAATTAAATTACTAATTCTTCTTCTTGGTCCATTATTTTCGAAATAATTAGTATTTACCTACTTTTTTAATTGGAGAAAAAAAATATTAAATAACACAATTGTTAATAAAAAAAGTATAGTAAATTAAAAAAATCTAAATTAGATAGCTTTTCTAAATTCTAAAAGTATTTACAACATCCCTATTTTATTGAATTCGTTGCACCAAATGTATGGAGACTTTGCAAGTATTAGTGATTGAAGTTGAAGTTCCTCGGAGACTTTATATTGTTGAATTCAACTTTGCTTTAATCAAATGCCTACACATTGTGCACTCTTAAGTTAGTCGATCCAACTCTATACTAACCAGGTAATGACAAAATATATTTGAATATACATGTACATACATGATGATCAGCTGCATATAATACACAATAAATAGACCCAATGAATTCTATGGTGCGTATATGATTGAAAAATAAATAAAATTTTAAACCAATTCCAAACCCATTATTACAAGAAGAGAAGTGGGTGCATTGGTGATTAAAATAAAATTATGAATATTTTATACATTCTAGTAACTTTAACATTCACATCAATAGTAATTTCTGAAAATAATGGAACAATAAGTGATTTAAATAAAAGAAATTTGGGAGATTTTGGATACTTAACAGATCAAGGGATAATTTTTAAATGTTTGCTGATGATAGGGGTAAATCTGGCCAGATAGTATCTGGATATGTTTTACGGAAAAGGGCCAAATATATCCTTATACTATTAGAAAATATTTAAATATACTCCTCGTTATATTTTGAGTCCAAATTCGGGTTGAGTATCAGGTGGTCCGGGAGCATTTCGGCGCTTATTATGGAAAGTTGGCATTTTGAAGATCTTTGAATTTCCTAAGTTTGATTTGAAGTAGACTTTGGTATTCTTGATGTCCGTTCGGGACTTTGAGCCTTGGAATAGGTTCGTATTGTGATTTATGACTCGTACGTAAAGTTTGGCGTCATCCTGGAATAATTAGATATAGTTTGGACGCGTTCGTCGAAGTTTGAATGTTTAAAAATGGAAAGAAGAATTTTTATCGTTGATTCGTGGTTTTGATGTTATCTGTGGCGTTTCAAGCAGTTGATAAGTTTGGTTAAGGTATTGGGACTTGTTGGTAGACTTGGACGGGGTCCCGGAGGTCTCGGGTGTGTTTCAGGATGATTTCGGACCATTTCTCTATGTGTTGCAACTGCTAGTTTCTGGTGTGTTGGGTATGCATCGCGATCGCAGAAGAGCGGATACGACCGCGAAGGGTAAAGTGGACTAGTAGATCCTTTGTTCCACTCAATCGCGGAAATGGTCTCGCGATAGCGGAGTTTGAGTAGGAGGTTCTTCGCGTTCGCGTGGTAGGAGTCGCGAACGTGTATGGTTGTTGAGGCTAGGCTGTTATGGGTGAGTTGTTCTACGCGATCGCTAGAGATGTGTCACAATCACGTATGCTGAGCTGGGAGTTTATACCTTCGTGTTCGCGATCGTGATCGCGAGGCTATTTCCGCGATCGCGAAGAGGAAGGACCTGGGCAATCTTGATTTTTATACGGGATTTGGTTCATTTCTCTCTCATTTTCACTTGGTTGGGCGATTTTTGGAGCTCTTAGAGGGGAGATTTCCATCATCTATTATGAGGTAAGTTATTCCCACTTGTTGTAAGTCAAATACATGAGTTATATATGGATTAAAACATGAAAATTTGTAGAAATTATGGGATTTGGAAGAAAACCTAGAATTTGATATTTTTAGATTTAGACCATGAAATTGGACATGGAGTTGGGAATAAATTATATATTTGAGTTTGTAGTTTTATGGGTAATGTTTATCTTTGAAAATTTTCTGAATCTGGGCACATGAGACTGAGGGTTGACTTTGTTGACTTTTCGAGCGGAGTTGAGGATTGTTAAAAATTGTTAAATTATAAGCATTGGAGTATATTTTTATTGATTTGCACGTTGTTTGGCTAGTTTCGGATTGATGGGCAACGGTTTGAGGTGTTAGAGAAGCGTTGGAGCCGGTTATGGAACTTCGGAGCGAGGTAAGTCTCATGTTTAACTTAGTGAGGGGGAAACTACCCGTAGGTATTAAAAATTGTTATGTGCTACTAGTTATGGATGCTATATACACACGAGGTGACGAGAGTCCGTACGTAGCCAAAAATATATTTATGTCCGGATAGACTTAGGACTTCATCATTTGTTATTTGATTTATTCGAACTCATTTTGTTAGCTTAATTGAGTGAATTTATAATTGAAATTAATTTGAGAATATATTAGATCGAGCTTTATCACCTTGAGCTGTCTGGCGAGATATTTGATAAATGGTAAAAAGTCATGTTTACTTTATGCTCCTATACCTGTGTTGTACACACGTGACTCATAATTCGATGAGTTTCTTCCTTTCCTGTGGATCGGGCCGAACACCTCGGCAGTATATTGAGATACATCTATGGTTCACGCCCGTTGACCCTCAACAGTGTACACACCATTCTGGATCGGGTTGTACGACCTTGGCATAATCGTGTGTGATAACGCTAGGAGTCCGAATGTCATGAGACTCCCCTTTGATTGAGACCCGGTATTTATATGGTATCCCTTATCCGTTTAAGATTGAACTTGATACTTCAGATCTATTGAGATAACATAGGAGATTTGAGAGATTTATATCGTCAAAAGAACTGTTGTAGGATTATGCTAGTTATTGTTTTACCGCATTATTATTGCTGTCCTTCTTATCTGTTTGTGCTTTATCATACTGACTTGTTGGACCACTAGTGAGTATCGATGTCGAATCCTTGTCACTACTTCTTCGAGGTTAGTCTAGATACTTACTGGGTATGCATTGGTTTACGTACTCATGCTACACTTCTGCACTAAATGTGAAGGATCTGACAGGTTCATTTGGTGGTCATCTTGGCACGTAGGCGCAGCTGCTGAGGAGACTTTATGGTGAGCTGCATTCCAAGCTACGTATCGCAACCCACAGAGTCTCCATCGTATTATTTATTTCATCCTGTCTAATTCACATTCCAGATAGAGGTTGTAATTATTATTATTGTACTCCTTCGTAAATGCTCATGCACTTATGACACCGAATTTTGGGATGTTCTAGAATTTGCTTGTGGTTTTTCTTAGTATTAACCCACTTTTATTATTTATTCTATTCAAATAGTCAGTTTTCCATGATTTTAATGCATTAATTTCTTTATCTAGTACAATTCATGATTTTGAAAATAATAAAATGAATAATTGAGTTGCAATTCACCGTTGACTTGACTAACAATGTTGGGTGCCATCACGATCTATAGTGGGAATTGGGTTGTGACAGCTTGGTATCAGAGCTCTAGGTTCATTTAGGTCTCACGAGTCATGAGCGAGTCTAGTGGAATCTTGCGGTTCGGTACAGAGACGTCTGTACTTATCTTCGAGAGGCTACAGGGTTGTTAGAAGCACTTCCCTTCTTGATTCCTCGCCGTGCGATTTGATTCCGTTGAAGTTTATGCCTTCTTTTCCTTCCTACTCATTCTTATACGATGTCGAACGCTTGTTATTAATTAGGCATCGAGGAGTTGTAGTGGTACAACAGATGTGGTGTAGGATGTTTCTCCCTGCGTATTCGAGCGGGCTATTATCACCGTTTTGTGGAAGGGTGCTTTGTCATTTTCGCCCAGTGCTAGTG